GGTGCCTTTTTTTTCCTTCAAGGAGTTTTCGCCCTTCCCACGGGGACCTCTCTGAGAAAGAAATGGAATAACGTATGTTAAAGATATCTAAACAGTAAGTAAACAAATTTTACAAAATAAGATATTGGGGGCCAAAGGAATTACCACTTTCAAGTGATACATATCCGCTTCTATGTGTTGCTGATCTTTCTAGCTTTTCTTTTGTCAGTTTGAAAATGTGTCCAATTCCTTAAAAGCTTTAATAGCTAATACCTGGGGAGGTGGGGGTGGGCATGGGGGATTGTGGGGTGCCTGCATTAGGGTAGGTGTGTCTGGCAAAGATCTAAGGTGTGTCTCTATTCGGGAGATGAGCTCCAGACAAGATACGTGAGAGGCTAAGGATAATTATTATGCCCAGGTGATGCTGAGTTCTAACCAACCCCTCTTAGCCACTGGGCGGGTGGGGAGTGGAAGAGAGGAGGGCGTGAGATTTCTCCATGGAAGGTGGCAACGAGTGAAAATCATTTCTTTCTGATAATGAGCTTGTGCCCGAATTGGCCAACGGGTATTTTTAAAGGTACACTAAATGAAAGGAATTCAGTATCTCATTGGTATTTTGTAGCATGTGGGTTTCAGGGAGACACTGGGCTGGGCGTTGGGGGGGGATACCCAGAAGAGTTCTAAACATAAATTGGATTTAACTGCTCAAAGACCTACTGGCACTTTCTTCAATCAGAGTGGAAATCAGGATAAGCTGAGATCTTACAGACACGTGGTGCTTAAGGGGGAACACTAACAGTGTGTCTCCATGAAGCCATCAGCAGGCCGAGGGGATCGGGAAGGCGGGCTAGAACCTTGGGACGCGCCGGCTTGCCTCCTCGCCTGCTTCCTTCTCCAGCTCCGAGGGGCTCCCTTCTTGTAGGCCTCCTTGCCTGTGTGGCGAAGCTCTTGTGCGGAGATGGAAGATAGCAGCATTGACAAAGAGCTAAAGCAGAAATTAAACTTCTCCTGGTGTGAAGAGGAGAGTGAGAACGAGGGGCAGCAGGGAGCGCGAGGGAGCCGGGAGGCCCAGAGCCAGAGCCCAGAGGCGTCTGAGGCGCAGGCCTCGGAGGCAAAGTCCGCGCCTCCCAGGACACCCCTTCGTAACGCCCATGAACTCTCCCCATCTCAGGAAAAAGACAGAGGGGGACCAGAGAGGCCTCCCAAGTGTCCTGAAACACCAGACCAGCCAAATGACGGATGCCAGCTGCCATGCTGTGAGAGTCCCTTCACTCCCAAAGTGAGTAAGTTGGGGGTGGGGGTGAAGGGGTGGGGGCAGGCCCCAGGTTCCTTCAGCTCAGCTGGTAAAGAAAGAGGACTCAGTCGGCTGTATGTATACTACAGACTTGCCTCCCAGGCTGTATTATCCGCAATTTATTGGGGGGAATGAAGAAGGAGAGTTTCAAGTTACCAGAAAACACAATTGAATGTCTTGCCAGCTGTCTTCTCCAAACCACGGGGGCCGGCCACTGTTTGGTGGAGGCCACAAATAAATCTTGGGTAGGGAAGACGTGCCGAGTTAAAGAATACTGGGACTGGAAGGAACATTGAGGTCTAGCGCCCAGCCCATGCACTCTGCCTAGGAGAAAATCCAGGTCTCGTGATAAACGGGCTTCTTGCTCAGCCAAGGGCAGACACGAGACTAGAAGCCTGGTCTTTTGGTCTCCGTCTGTTGTCTTTCCGTTTTGCCAACTGGCCCTATTTTTATGGGATTATTTACCAGGATTTTCTACAATGAGGATGTTCACATTCACTCTGTCTCCTTGCTGCTGCTCGTCCCCGGAGGACGTTGTCCCCGGAGGACGTCGTGCAGTTCAGGCTCTTCTAGTACATGTGAGCGAAGAGGTAACTAGCTGACGCTTCTGCATAAGCTCAGAACTGCAAATGAGCAAAGGTCCCGAATAGTTAGCATCTTCCTTGATTCCTGTGGCGAATGGTGTCCTGTCACATCTTTCGCTTTATTCAGGCCAGGACTGGGGCAGGGTCACCTCTGAGAGGCTGGTGTCGTGTGTGAGCCTTAGGACTGGCGTTAGCGCTGCTTTCCACTGTGCTTACGATCGGCCTCCTAACATCTGTGCCTCTGATGGCAGCACTGTCACTGTCAGCAGGTCTCTTTAGTGCCTGCTGGGAGCACAGGCACCACGTCTACCAGGAAATACGAAGCGTCTCATCTGAATTGTAGACAGACTACTTTAATAAGCTCATGTGGGTTTTCAGTGGTCCCAATACCAACCAATCTATCATCCACTGATCTTTTTGTGGGCAAGGGGCATAGGACACAGTCTCTGAGAGAGGAGATGTGCCTCTAGACACAGGTGATAGGTGCTTCAAGAGCGGTCAGTGTTCTCTGGGCAGACTGCTTCTCAGTGAGGCAGTTAGGAAAGGAAAGCGGTGAAGGGAGCATACAAAGGTCAATGAAAGTTGGTATGGTTTTGATACGAGGAAGCTAGGTGGAGAGTGGGCTGACAGGATGTGGCTCTGAGCACGAGTACGTAGGGAAGAAAACATGGCATGGGATGTATATTTTCATCCACTTGTTTAGAACTTAACACCTTGCTATGTTTGCAGACCCTTGGCTATCACACCCATTTACTACCTTCAAAGAGTGCCCACAGAATAATGATAAACACGCAACTGAAACAACAATTACAGTTCAGATCAGGTAGGCTAGAGGGGTGGCATCGCATGATGAGAAGAACTGGGAACTAAGTCCCATTATATCAGAGGAGCCTTTCCAAAGAAAGTGATGTTTGAGAGCTGTCTTAAAGAATGAGTGGGAGTTCGCCAGGCAAAGAAGCAGAGAGTGAGAACTCGGGGCCAAGGGAAAAGCATCTACCAAGCAATGGAGGGGAAGAAGAACCTGTGTAAATTCAGGTTGGCAGGGGTCTGTGCGTGAGAGAGGGCAGGCGGTGGGGCCAGCGTGCAGGCAGGAGCCAGGCCAAGGTTTTTTCCTGAAAATGGTGAGAGAGCCGTTCAACGGTTTTGAGCAGATAGGTGGCACTCAAGGATGTACAGGTTTAGCGAAAGCAGAGATGTCATGGAAAGAATTGGGCCAATGGGTCTGGAGTGCAGGAAACAATCTAAGCTGGAGATCTGTATATGCATAGCATCAGCATGTAGGACGTAGCTGAGGCCTTGACAGGTGTGGTTAAGGTCAGGCAGCCTGCGTGCCAGAGTCAGGAGAGAAGTGGCCCGAGGTAGGAATCGTGGAGAATGCTGAGATCTGAGAGACGCGCAGAGAACAGAGTTCGGGAGGAAAGCTGGAAAGGCAACAGGGAAAGTGTGTGCTTTGTGAAGACTGTAGTTTGGATCAGGCTCAGAGGTGGGAGGCCAGGGCACTAATAACCGGAGATGTTGTGCCGAAGACAAGGCCGCCTTGGAAAGGAATGTTGGTTTAGTTCAGCCTTGCCCAAGGGAAGAGGACCAGAAATCATGTGAAATGACTTCAGGTTACCATCAGGACTTCCTAGCAATACAGATGTAGAGGTAGAAAAGCTTTCTTGGGAGGCAGTAAGGTCCTGTGGCCAAATGACCACTTGATAGAGATGTAGAAGGGACTCGTGCATCAGGGGACTGGTTGGACCAGCTGGGCCTCTAACACTTTCCTAGTTTCGAGACACTGCTGTTGTTCTTAGTGTGAGGTTGCCGCCTTTATTTCAGAGGTCAAGGAGCTATTTCCCAATTTCCTTCCTCTCTCTTAATCTATAATAGAGCTGTTACATATGGAATTAGCTGTATTCTCTAGAGCATATCTATACTCTCAACCTGGTCATGTTTCGAGGAATTTTCAATCTGCTTTACTTTCATAAATTTCCTTTCATAAATCTTGTCCCAAACTATATTCTTTTAGGTGTCAGAAGGATTGCTCATAATTTTGCCATTCTGGCAATAAAACTCGTATTACTATAATTAATATCCTTCCCTATATGATTAGTGGTGTTCACAGAATCTATCAGTCTTCCTATTTCCAGACTAGAAATCCTGATATTGTTTTGTCCTGATACAAATACTTTCCCTTCCTGTTATCTGAAAATTTTATAGGCCCTTTTTGTTGTCCTGTTCGGCAACCAAAACAAATGTGCAGCACCCCAGGTGCGGCTGCTCCAGTATCACAGGTGATAGGTGCATTTTCCTTTCCATATGATGATCAGAATCACCAAAAAACCCGTTTCTCAGGGTATGGCTTACTATAATTCTACATTCTTTTTCTGAAGCACATTGAAAGCTGAGAAGTATTATATAGTTGTACTTGTTTTGAACCAATACTCGGCCCTATAATAAACTTGGAGGAAGATTGTGAGTTTGTCATTGATGGCTTTCTCTGACAATAAGCCCCAAGGTTGTTCATCTTTTGACCTCTAAGACACATGGAAAACCCTTGTAAAAAACTCTTGACTCTGGCAATCACATCGTTTCCTTCATTAAAAAAAAAAAAAAAAGGTGAGGTTACTGTGTGTACTTTCTAGCTTCCTTCATTTCTGTTTGTGTCAATCATTTGGCAAGCATTTATATACTAAGTTTAATATTCATCCTTTGTAGCCTCACATTCTTTAATCACATGCTGTACTACACCTTTTGCTTCTACACTGAACAGTCGTGGGCAGAGGCCATCAGAACCATAAGGTTCTTTTAGGAAGAGCCTCATAGGACACTGCTTATAGGATGGAGTTATACCACAGCTGCCCTCTTGAAGACCTGTGACACAGGAATTCCCTTCGCCCCTGACATTTAGGCTATGGTGGCTTTCTGCTGTCTCTCAGAATTCGTTGTCTTTGACCTCTGCCCTCTGCTGTTTGGTTTAGTTGTGGTTAGGTTTTAGGCCTGTGTTCTAGTTCTGTAACTCACTTGGAGTGGTAAGTCCTGCACATTTGCTGCTATGCTAGTTATAGTCACTGCAGAGCCTTGAGTCTTCAGGGCCTAGCATATGGCTTTTCAAGTTTTTTTACCCCACTTCATGCAGCTACATTCATTTTTGTGCTACATTTATTATTATTATTATTATTTATTATTATTATTATTATTATTAGCTGAGCCATCCTGCCACCTGTTGGTGGCTCAGTGGCAGCTCAGCTTGGGCCGTGAATCGAACCGGCAACCCTGTTGCTCAGAGCTCACACTCTTGAGCGAGCTCTTAACCAACTGAGCCACTCGCCCAGCCATTTGGTGCTACATTTTAAAATATACACTCTGAGAAGGAAAGGACCAGGACTTCTAGAGTTGTTTTCTTTCGTCTCAGCTTAAATGTTGTCTTTAAAATGCTGCAGGGAGGAACAGACTTGGTGGTTTTCACAGGTGGCTGTCAGAACTGCCCAGGCGAAGCTAGTGGAGCATAACAAAAGTACAGGTCCCTGGGTTGAGCCCATGAATCCAAATATCTAAAGGTCCACTGGGAATCTGTATTTTTCATAAGAGGACCAGTTATGAAGCAACTAGTTTGCACTAAACCAGGTAACGTCTAAGGCCCCTTTCAGCAGTAACATTCTTTGGTTCAAATATTAACTACTAACTGATACAGAACTGTTTTTTTTTTTTAGGAACCCCATTCTGATTTGCCTTTTGTCCTCCTCATTCAGGGTCTGCTGAGCCAGTCAGCTGTTTCTTCTACAGGGAGGCTCCCCTGCCGAGGCTGTAAGCACTTTAGGCTCACACCTATTTCCTTCACAGATGAAATGACCTCATCAGCTCTGGTTAATGTTAATCCCTTCACCCCAGAGTCCTATAGGAAACAACTCCTTCAATCCAGTGGCAAGAGGAAAACCCGAGGAGATCTGTAAGTGTGCTGTTGCCTGTGACTTCTGACAACTGATCTTACTGTGGTCGAGAGGAAGGGAGAGTTTGAAAGATTAGCAACAAGAACACTGCATGAAAGTGATACCATGTTTGCATATTTCCTCCTTCCTAAATGTCACTGTTGGCTTTAACCTGTGGCTCTGTCACAGAAATTCTAGCATCTTTCCATTCTGAAGAGTACCGTAGGTGCCTTCTCTGTAAAAGAACAGGGCAGGAAGCCATAGCCCTCTGACTTCCATTAGGAAGTTGAATGAAGCCTCCGAGGGGTCTGCTCTGGTTCACAGGAGGCTAGCAGGTGGGGAAGGTGTAGTTCACCCTTTGAAGAGTCTATATTGCTTTTCAAGTTTGGCTGGTGATGAGAGGTATGGGGCAAGGATTTGAACTTCTCGGCAGGTGTTGGAAGGTTGACTGGAGAGAAAAAGATAGGGTTGCTTTCAGAAGTGCTAAAACGGGAAAACCAAAGTACTCTATTGTGTATATCACTCCAGGACATCACTATATCTCTCCAAGGCTGCTTTTTGATGGAATGGAAGTGCCTCTGAAAGGGGCCTGTCATTTGTGCTCATATGGACTCCGCAAAATAAATACACAGCTAACAATCTGAAGTTTGCAGAGCACTTAATGGGTTACGGTGTTTCTTTTAGAATCAGTGACTATTTTTTAAGCAGCCTTATGGCCAGAATAGGTTTTCTCAACACTATCTGCCGGATCTTAAGTAAACAGGACTTCAGCACAAGTAAACGGTATACTTTTTTTTTTTTTAACAAGAATGCTATTGGTTTTAGCGGTTTAGGGTTATTTGTAAGCCATCAGAATTCATGGTTTCACTTCTCACTGAAGCTAGCAGGAATAGATAGTTCATTCATTTGAATTCCTGGCAATGAAAATGGTGACACTTCAGTAACGTCACTTAGTGCTTCTGAGAGGGTATTTTTCTTCCTTATTTATTGTGTTGTTGTTTCATAAAGTTTAGGATGTAATATTAAATTTAAGTCTCCAATGTCAAGCATCAATTTATTTCCATGAGTGTAATGTCCTCCGTTTGCCATTCCTACCCTGTACTTCTCCAGAAGAAAACGTATCTGTGGCTTGGCGGATCTAGAAACTAAAATCTTGCTTAAAGATCCAGAATACAAGTGCTCACTCCAACAGGACGTCTGTGAGAGACTCGAGCTTACTGAAAAGCAATCGGCAATGTCTTAGCCGGGGTCAGAGCTCTTTCTGCTCGACTGACAGGCTACCTGTGAACCTAACACATACAGAGCC